AGCCTTCTAGGCTCTGCATTTCAGGGAGGCAGAAGGACCAAAGCTTCTTGATAGCACACCAGAGCATAGCATCACAAAGAGGCCCACAGTCCAGGTCCAGGAGCAGCAGAACAATCCCATGCCCTTAAGCAGGGCTCCAAACAGAGCCACTGGCCAGAAGGAGTGGACAGGAGAGAGATGAAGGCTATCTGCGTGGACCAGTCACCAAGACTAGATGAGCTGGGGAGGAGGATTCCGTGAGTATCTGCAGGAACAGATGACTAGGGAACCTCTGGCTTTTGCACTAACAATTCATCTGAAACTTAGATACATCAGAAAAATGGGAGAGGGCAAGCCAAAGTTGACTGAAATTAAGTTTCCATCACTGGGGGACAATACAAAGAAATTAAGTTGGGTGATGAAGGAATAAAGAACATTTTATTTCTCTGATACCCAAGTTTGTGAACAGAATTCATAACTGCTATGCCTGTGTGAGCACAAGCAACTTTGGAAAGACTGGCAGAAGCTGTTAACAGTGTTGCCTTCGGGGGGAGGGGACGTAGGTCTAGTGTGGAAGCAAGACTTACTTGCATTATTTTCTTAATATTCTCGAACTTTTCACTAAGTATACGTATTACTTTTAAGATCAAATCTAATATTTAAACTAAGGAGATAGACAGTACATTCAATATTGAGCTGGTGTAACAAACTTTCTTGGTTCTATTCCAATTGCTGTCACACACTTGGAATAGTTACCTGGCGGTTCTGTTCATTCATACTAATAGTAGCATCATTTTGTGCTCCTTATTTTTATGTATCGTCATTTGTACATGAGATAAGAAACTTGGATGTCAAGAATTACATGAAATAGAGAGAAAGTTCTTTCATTAGATAACGTTGAGGGAAGCAAATACGTTATGCGTGATTATCTTTTAAACTGATCTACCTCTCCCTCATCGTATAGACATGACTTAAGCTTCTTAATTTCTCTTTTTGATTGTCCTTAAAAGTTGCAAATTAAACAATGTATAGGATGCTTTTTGAACCATATGGAAGAAACATGCTCATAAAAGTAGCACATGTTTCTCTTGCGGAAAATTACTTGGTGATGCATTTAGTCATGGGACTCTGGCCAAAGGCAGCACACCGGGCACTTCGTTTCTGCCTGTGTGGCAGTGGCACAGGGATGGTGCTGGCAGCAAGGACCCTCCTTCCACGCGGCCACACAGTTACCCAGTGGCTTCTAATTTCTCAAGCTGAAGAGAATCAAAGGCAATATCATAAGGAACAAAATTCACATGCCAATATGTGTACAAGAAAACAGATTTCAGGAGAGCGAAGTTAGAAGACAAAGTTGGCTTTGTTCTTACTTTATTGAAAATATTTCCTGAGATACCTGATTTTAGTGGGTTCTGGGTTCTGGCTTAAGGGAGTTTATGTCTATTTTTAAGGGGTTTAAGGCATCCAATACCTCCTTTTCCCTTCTCTGATTCTGCCATACTAAATTTTCATTATACTCCAAATACCATATAATACAGATATATTTAATTTGATGTCTGTTTTTCATCCAAATGCAACAAGGGAAGACTTGGAGACTCATTTAAGTAATCTGGTTGAAGATAATGTTAATAATAATTATTTTTGTTCATACCTAGGCTTAAAGGAGAGAAGGAAACCAATGTGCAAATACACCACAGGAGGAAGAAAGAAGGGAAGAGGGAGAGGAAGAGAAGGGAGGGGAAAGAGAAAGGGAAGGGGGGAGGGAAGGAGGAGGAAAGGAGAGAGAGAATGAGGGAGGGAGCTAACTTGTATTGAGCACCTATAGTGCACCAGGCATGGTGCCAGACCTCTTCAGATTTACCAGTCTTTAAAACAGCGCTCTAAGGACAGTATTAGTCTTACTTTTACTGATGAGACAATGGCGCTCAGAGAGATGAAGCAAGCTTTTTGCTTTTCTCAAGGTACCCAGCTGGCAAGTGGCTAGTTCAAGAGTCAAACCAGACCGGCCTGACCTCAGAAACCCTGACACCTTTTGTTCAACAAAGTCATCTCTCAAATGATGAGAGATTCATAGTTTGGGTTCTTGCTTTGTTTTGTAGTTTGTTTGTTTATCTTAAAGAGGCTAGAAGATGAAAGAGCTGGTAGGCAATAAGGGATAAAGTGAATTTACTCTGAAGCATATTTGATAGAAGACAGAAGTATGTGGCTTTTTAGAGTTAATAAAAGGTTTTTTTTTTAATGCAGGGAAAAACCATACCTTAAATAAAAGGGACACAAAATCCATAACTCTGGTCAGGAAATCATAGATCAGTCATGAAAATGGGTGAAGCAAAATCAATCACGTTTCATTGATTTTAAAAACAACAGAATTTGAACTACATAAAAGTCACATTTTGTATTTGTCAGGAAAACTCACTGAAGAAAATGAATTAGCTTGACAGAAATGAACTTGCCTTGAAAGCAACAAATCATCCGATAACGTCTACATTAATAGGTTAGAAAAAGCCAAGTGTCAGGAGAAGTAGAGAATTCTTCCTGGGTAAAAGCTGTGCTTAGAAAGTTTTCGGTGTTTGGTGTTTTTGTTTTCTTTTGGTGTTTTTTTTGCCTTTTATTAATAAAGAGTTTCAATTTATTTTAAGAAATTTATATTTAGGTTATATTCATATGAAGGTGAAATTTTGTTGATAAATTATTTCTTTAAATTGTATATAAATTATGAGACTTTATTGGCTGTCTAGTCTGATTCTGTTTATATAGTTACTAGAGGCCCAGTGCACAAAAATTTGTGCACTCGGGGGAAGGGGGGTCCCTCAGCCTGGCCTGTGCCCTCTTACAGTCTGGGACCCCTCGGGAGATAACGACCTGCTGGCTTAGGCCTGCTCCCGGGTGGCAGAGGGCAGGTCCAATCCCTAGGTGCAGCCCCTGGTTGGGCTCAGAGCAGGGCCGATCTGCAGTCTGGCTTCTTCCCCTGTGCCTGGGATCCGCAATCTGGTTTCTAAGTAGCCCTGGCTGTAGCCATGATAGTGAGGAAAAATCCTATTCTCATACTCCATCGGAGCGGAGAGGAAAGAAAAGGAGAGACCACACCCAGGCAGCCGCCTTACAGAATCCGGAGGAAAAACGTAGGAACTCGGAGGCATTTCCTGCAATCTTCTCTATGGAGAAAACAGGACCAAGTGAGTCCTCCCTGGGCCGCTGATGGCATTCACAGCCTCTCCTTCAGCGGGTAGCAGCACAAAAATACTCAGCTCTGGGTGCAAAATGGCTAACACAATCGGAGCTCTCCAACCTTCCAAGACCTGCTCCACCGAAAGAACAGGTCTCAAGGCCACGGGCAGAAGCTATAAAAGGGAGGCCAACTGCTCCTTTTTTTCTTTTTCTTTTTGTTAATTCTGAGCCAGCTTTAGCTCTGAGGCTTCAGCTCTTAGGCCTCCACTGCTGAAAGTAGGTATCTGGTTTGTTTCAGTTCTATAATCGAAACAATGTATAACTCCAGCTCTGACTCCAGCTCTGAGATCCCAGCTCGCTGAAAGCTGGTTTCTGGGTTTTTTTTTAGCTTCTATATTTGTTAAAATGTTTTAAACTGCAGGCTCAGAGGCCTGCAAGGCAGGCGGGGGATGTTGGTTTCCTCCGTCACTGAAGCAAGCAAGCCTCATGTTAGCTTTAAGCTGCCTGGCTGCCGGCCGCCATCTTGGCTGGCAGTTAATTTGCATATCTCCCTGATTAGCAATGGGAAGGGTAGTGGTCATACGCCAATTACCATGTTTCTCTTTTATTAGATAGGATACTTTATAGATCTACACTTCCTTCTAGAAAAGACATAAAAAGTTCCTTTTTCCAGTGTTTAAGCAGCAACACTCTCTATATGTCATCTGCGACTCTCAGGTCAAGGGCCACTTCTTCCAAGAAATGTTTTTATTGTTTCCTTTACTAAACTATAAATTACCTGACAGAAAGAAAACATATCTGCCTTTAATTCACTGTATAAAGAAAATAAGTATTGCTTAATATTTGTTGAACAGAATCAGAAATGGATATCATATGGGAACATTTGAGGATAAAATGGTTATTCTCTTCCTAGTCTTGAGTATCGCTTGGATTTTGGTTGCAGCGTGAAAGTTTACATTAGATCTTCTATTTTATCTTGAACTCATAATTGTGTATACAAAAACACTGAGTATCACAGAAAATCCACATTCAGATATTCTCTCAAATTGTGCAGAATGACTGTAGCTCTGGGTGGACAGGCCTGTTTATCCAAAGTCAGCAAAGATACAATTGCCAACAAATTCATGCATCCATGTATGTATTCAACAAGTTTCTATTTTAAAAATAAATTTAATGTTTTCCATCACCATTTATCTCCCCTATACCCTCTTCCACCTCCATTCCCATCTCCCA